CCTTGGCTATTTGGGGGTACATTTTTCGCTGCACAGAGGCGGGTGCGTATCTTGGCTGCAACAAGATAGTCCGAGTCGATATTTGGCCCTCGGAGTGTACGTACGTCTAAACCGCTGGAAGCGTGCCTTCCGTCCATCACGACATGAGCGATTTGGTTTCTTGGTTTTCGATCCAGAGACAGCCACGTAGCTCGGTGGATGCTCTTATGCTGGAACCTAGTACTGCATATTACCATGTTTCGGGCCCCGGCGAAGTCTCGATCAACCTCAGTCCATTATCGGACGTTTCGTCGTGGAGGCTAAATTTTCCGGCAGTGGCGTCACAGATCATTTCCTTGCCCACCTTGGCATTAAAATCGCCGAGCACGATTTTGACATCGTGTCGGGGGCAGCGCTCATATGTACATTCCAAGTGCTCATAGAAGAGATCTTTGGACGCCTCATCCTTCTCTTCCGTCGGGGCATGGGCGCAGGTGAGCGAAATGTTGAAGAATCTAGCTTTGATGCGGATTGTGGCTAGACATTCGTCCACCGGGGTGAACGCCAGTACTCGGCGACGGAGTCTCTCTCCTACCACGAATCCAACACCGAATTTGCGCTCCTTTATGTGGCAACTGTAGTAGACGTCGCAAGGCTTCACACTTACCTCTCCTTGCCCCGTCCATCGCATTTCTTGGATGACGGTGATGTCAGCCTTTGTCTTCCCGAGGACATCAACCAGCCGGGCAGAGGCACTTTCCCCATTAAGGGTCCGGATATTCCAGGTGCATACCCTTTATAAATTTGCCATGGTCGTCAACAAAAAAGGGTGGTATCATCCGAGGCTTGTTGGAATTTTTCATTGGGCGGGGTTTTAGCGTGGCGAGACCCAAACCCAGCGCACATGAAGTTTGACGCCTTCTCACTTTAGCTCGCTCCCAAACGGGTGTGTGGTTGCTACCCAGAGGATACGTGGATATAATTATCCGCACGTTGTGAGATGCGATTTGAACCGTACGCACAAGAATCGCTTCTGGCCACTCCCAGGTGAATGGCAGTCAAAAGTTTTCGACTTCTACGCACGGAACCATCCTCTAACTAAAGAACACTTGGAAGAAAAAACCTTATAATATTTAGTCTACCAAGTAAGCTTATTCTTACATTATGACTACGGTGACTATATTAACCAAAGTAAAATAAAGGAAATTTTTTTTCATAATGATTTGGGAATACGTACATACAACTTTTATGATAAAAATACCTTACCCATATCGTAATTTAAATCAAATATTTACCAGTTAATTATATTATTTAATTGTACAATTTCCCCTGCTGTATCGAAAAATTATGCCAAATCCTTTTCAAGGACTTCGCCATCCTTTGATACCAAAATGCGTTTACCATAATTCATACCAGCCATCCAGCACAAAGTGGTTCAAAATTGGAAATTAATTGTCATAATGCACCGGAGCATTCATTTTTCAACCAATTTTTACAAAAAAAAAAAACAAAAACAAATATTTATTTTGGTGGGACATTTTTTATAACATTTCAAAATTTTTTGTATATTTTTTTTGTATTGGGATAACCATACACTTGTTTTCAACTAATTTTTTTTATTTAACATTTATTAACTGGACCCAGAGAATATCTACATTTTCATCAAAATTGCTACTTTATCTGCATTTTGCACTAAAAAATTTAATATAATCAAATAAAAGTTAAGAAATCAGGCTCAACTGGTCTCTTACAAATATCGTAAGCTTTCATAAAAAAAAATAAAAACCTTCCGTAAGTCACCTAACCCTAATTCTAATACCCTCAAAAAAATCGTGGATATGAAAAACATGAGCTGTAGATAGAGTGGCGAAAACATAAATAGGGAAGAGAAATTTTATCTTCCTTTGGCTATTCTCCTTTTTATGAAAGTGTGGATCGTTGTTAAATAAAAAGACTATGTAAGTCAGAATTTGAAACTTTGTACAAAAATTAGCAAAATTCGACAATGTTTCATCAAAATTTTGAGTTTTTTAATTAGATTTCTTGGAAACATTCTGAGTATGCAGTTTTGTAACTTATTCAACTCAAAGTGCAAATTTTAAACTAGGACTTACCGTTGATATTTGGTAAATTTTGTGGAAGGTGTTGCTCATTTTCTCCATACACAAAAAAATTTTTAACATACTATGTATAGAAGAAATCGCGTGAACAAAGAACTGCCAAAAATCAACGGTAAGTCCACGCTTCTTCCATCTTGCACTTTACTAAAAAAAAATTGTTTGGGCTTCAAAACTGCATAATCAAAACAATTCTAAAAAATCTGATTAAAATGTTTCAAATTTTAATGAACATGTATTTAAATTCGTCGAAGATTTATTAATGTTCTACACATTTTGAAATTTTGATTTACACTTTTTGTCGATAGGAAGTTATATTTTCATAATAAACATTTTTAAATTTTTTTCTCTTTGTTTTGTTTTAAATAAAACTGTATTCAGCCTTTTTATTCTAAAAACAGAATTGTATAATCGGATGCGATGCTTTAGAAATGTCCCGTTATTTGACACCAGAAATCTGGTCTCCGTAGGTATAGTCCAACCTTTCACAGTATCTGTCCAAGGCTTTATTAGTCGTAATCTGAAACGCAATAATCGTTGAAAATTGTCGGCGCCGTTTATAGTGAACGCATTTAGTATCACACTTTTAAACTAAAGGGCCATTCCATTGTGACTGGTGGGACATTTTACTCCAGAATGTGATCAATTGTGAATTTTAGCTATTTCGTTGGAACTTATACACTAACTAAAGATATTTTTTAACATGGAACGATAACTAATGTATAAAATTGCTTTAACAAAAATACCAAATGATTTCTTAGTTTTATTTAGCTATCATTTGAATGAATGTGACTGGTGGGACACTGAAAACAATTCTATTTTACCCTTGTGCACTCAAAGATGAATTTTAGCCAAAACACTTAATTTTTACGAAAGATGTTTTGGTGTTGGAAATCATGAATTATACGCTTTCGGTTTCAATAAAAATTATGTTTATATAATCTTCATAGAAATACTAAAAAATATTTAAAATTGTGACTAATGTAAAGCAATTATGCGGAAACTTCTATCCGTATACAAAAATTACTACTTCTTTTGATTTTTGTAATATTTTCCAACAGATCAATAAAATATTTGGACATATTTAACAGGTGGCAACTCTTAAGAAAATTAGCTTATTTCCCAACCTAGGTCATAAGCAGGGAACGGACTTTTAGGACCTAATAACCTATAAAAAAGGCAAAATGCAATAACGAAACAGGCTGCGTTTAAGAATTTACCTCTGAAATATGCAGAGCCGATTTAAAGGATAGTTTAAGAAATAAAGGAAAAAAGGCGTCCTTTATTTTGAAAAAAATCAAATAATAGGACAGGGGGTTAAAATAAAGGACTGTCCTTTAAAATAAAGGACGGATGGTCACCGTAATTTTGTCAGTGCTGCTTAAAAGTAAGTTTATTGTAAAAAAAAAAACTCAGTACGTGTAGTCCCTACGCTCGGAAGAAGTGAAACTTTATAGAGTAAATGCCAAAAAAAAAGAAATGTGCGATATACATACACATATACATATTTTCGAATATACAAAAAGCATGTTTATTTAAATTTTTTGTTAACGACCTTTAATTTTTTATTTTTTATAACCAACTGCAAAGTTTAATTACACAGGTTTACAAAAAAAAATTAATTGTATACATATTAAACCAAAACTATATATCCCTATGTTATTCGACATGCTGAATGCGAATCCGAGGTCCGTTAGCCTCCATCACGTCAGGTTCGTGGTCATTTGAAGGTCAAGTAGGGAAAATTAATTGAATAAACCTGAAAATTCAATAAAATTCATCGGAATTTGACGTTGAGATGACCTTGGCATGACCTCCAGATGACTTTGAGGAATCAAGGGACCTCCATACTCGGTTTCAGTGACAACAAAAACAATTTTTTTTTTTAAATTTAAAATGAATAAATTTTATGTCCTATTTGACCTTCAAATGAACTCGAAGCTGACGTTGTGGAGGTTAACGGACCTCGGATTCGGGTTCAGCGAATGTAAAAACTTATGTATATGATTTTCAAGTTTATTCAATAAATTTTTCCCTAATTGACCTTCAACTGACCACGAACCTGACGTGGTGGAGACGAACGCATTCAGCGTGTCGAATAACATAGGGATATATAGCTTTAGTTTAATATGCATAAGTTTTTTTTTTGTAAACCTGTGTTATTATTTGTGCCTGAGAAAACATTCATATCTACAATATTACTATTACAATATTAGTAGATTGTGGTAACTTAAGTAAGATATGAAATGTTTTATTTCAATATTGTTAATATTTCTGGAAAAACCGCATCAATGGTTGTTGGATCATTTCTACCATTAACCATTTCCAGTGAAAATTTTTCTTTAAAAAAAATTCTCAGTTCATCAGATTTGGCCAGCGAAAAGTTGACGTTGAAATCTCCTGCGAAAATTACAGCTCGATCATAACAGTCTACTTATCTTTATCTTCGTGTTTATCATTCATCTTCATCTTCATCTTAATCCTTTTCATCTTCATCTTAGTCTTTATCTTCACCTTCACCTTCATCTTCATCTTCATCTTCATCTTCATCTTCATCTTCATCTTCATCTTCATCTTCATCTTCATCTTCATCTTCATCTTCATCTTCATCTTCATCTTCATCTTCATCTTCATCTTCATCTTCATCTTCATCTTCATCTTCATCTTCATCTTCATCTTCATCTTCATCTTCATCTTCATCTTCATCT